CTTTACGAGTCGTGTGTGAGGTATTTGCGATCGTAAAGTACGACGATTATTTTTTACTCGTCGTGTCATTCGCGGTTTCCCGTCGTTGTCGGATACAACACGAGTGACTGGTGCTAATAAGAAATTTAATTTTGGATTTCCCCCCGAAACAGACTATTATTTATTATTAATATTGTTATATTAATAAATATTATTATTATTATTATTTTGATGGTGGTAGTGGTAGTCACACGTCATTCCCACATGAGTTGTGCAGTAGGCGTTCTTTTTGGTCTTAATTTTTAAATCATATGCAGCAGCAGCAGCAGCACACACTACTGCAAATACGGCACAAACTGTCTTCTCGTTGTCACTGTCAATTTTGGACGGAGGTGAATTTCGTGTTTTACAATGTCGAACAAAAAATATTTGGTGATTACAAGTCGTGAAGAAGGAGCTATGACGAGCAAAGTACATACGATTGACAAATAATCGGCGAGCAGCACACGAGTCGTGTAGGAGCAACATGATTACAAACATTTTGTACAAACTGGGCTCGTACACTCCCCGAGTATACGCTCGGAAAGCACGAATAGGGACAAATGGACGTCAAAAAAACAATGTATATATATATATTTATAAGTTATAAAACCATTGATATTTTATGTTCATAATATAACTAATGGATCGTATCATATCAAACCTTATCGAATTTTATCGTTTTGGCAATAGGTACCTTTTATATCAATATAACTTATTGGTTTTTACAATTTGTAATAATTATCACACTTTATCAAAACACGGTGATACACGAGACGTGACAAACCAATTGTATTCAAGTGTACATGTAAGATGTCATTAATTAATTCAAATCGCGATGGTGTAATTTTTTTTGAACGAATATTTTTGACATTAAAATTTACATATTATAATAAATATAAATAACTTATTTATTTTATTTACTGATTTATATGTATATACATATTTTTTTTTTTTTACGTCCATTTGTCTCCACGTCCAAACGGCTACGTCCATTAGATCGCGCAAAGCACACGGATTGTATTTCAACGAACGCGACCGCATGCGTAAAACCGTCTGCAGCCTACGACGGGAAGAAAAAGCGAAAATCGAAGAAAAAAACACGAACCGTGCGAGGAGAGATAGAACGTACGGTGTATATATCATAACGTCGTAGACCGTCCGTCCGCATCTGTATTCCAAGAATTGTAGAGCCTGTAGACGACGTTGTCGGATAGAAACTTGCGCTTTAATAACGCGTGTCGGACCCGTCCACGGACTAATTACGATTTCCTGCCCGGTTGTGCGACACCAATATAACGTTGTAATACATCACGTCGTCGATGTGAATATTACTGTGAATATACCCTCTCGTGATCTAACCGCTTATTTCTTTACACGTGTCGATCTTAACTCAACAACAAAACAATACCCATATGATTATGTGTAATAATTGCATTGCCTACAATCGAAACGTAATAATAATGAAAACATTTGCTGAAACATAATGAATTTAGGAGTACATTTATAATTTATATACGCTTAACTTTACAGAGTTCCATAGTTGCAACATTTGTGTGGAAAAAATCGGACTTGTCATGGCACTCGTATTTATTTTTCATATAAATGTCACGATTAAATTTATTACCGCTAACAAAATCGACACGAAACACGTAAATTAAGATATTTGTGCGATCATCATCAATTATGACCATTTCGAGTAAATAAATTTAACTAAATATAACCCCTATATATATGTGTGTGTATAGGTTAATCATGCAGATCTCTTCTCTCGCTCTCTTTCTCGTACCTCGTCACCGTCACATGTTCTCATACCTCGACGACGTAGACAGCAAAAGTTTTTTGACGGACCGTAAGAAATGGCCCGTGGCCTAAAAACTGTTTTTCGGCATATCGTACGTGCATTCATATATTACGAGGACCGGGAAACTGTCAACCGACGACGACGACGACGGTCGGTTGATGACGGGAACCGTTTGTCAATCGCGTTTGCGGTGCAACACGGTGCGCACGCATACATATATCACGCGAGCGCGCGCGGCGGTCACGTGTCGTTTACTCGGCGTTAAAAACCACCGACACCAACGCACGCACGCACCACACGTTGCTCGTGAAATCCCACGGGACGGCGTTCGTATTATCCACAGAAGTTGTAGGCGCCTCTTGTAATGTTAATTGCGTTAATTAACACGCGCGCACACATTCCCAACACGTGTTTCCGTTTCGAAGAGACGACAGCTTTTTTTTTTTTTCGTTTTTCTCTCGTTCTTCGACACTGACAAAGTGAGACGCGACGACCTATATGAACGGTAGTACCGTGCACGTACACTGCACTCGGTGCTCGCACAATAATAGATACACCGCGACAGGAGAAAAATAATCACGCGAAAAGACCGATTTTAAACGTGTCGTATTTTATTCACATGTTTTTCTTACGACTTTTGTAACGGGAGTTCACCGATTGCGCTTAAAATTACCTTTTCATAAACCAATTGCACTCTAAACATTTTAGAGTCGATAGACCGATTGCGCTCTAAAAGTTATTAGTTAGTTGCTAACCGATTACTTTGCGACTATTTATGCATAATACATTGCGAGATGTATTATACAGTTTTACATAGAAATAGGTGGTTATATCATAAAGTAATAAGATTTTGAGATTAAGAATAATAATGATTTTTTAAATAATAATTTGAGCATGGCATTACAATTTAGAATTATATAATTTGGTTAGTTTACAGAAAACACTTTCCAAACTTAAACTCATCAAGAACTAGAACGGTTTACCTTTTTCATCAAGAACTTTTGTAAAACGAACCATATTGTAACGTCCTACAACTCAAAATAATACTAAACGACTAACAAGACATAAGTATTGGGTATCATCAATGTGTTATTCTATATACAGTATATTATGTGCAGCGAAACAATTAGACAGATAAAATATATCTGATGATAATGAAAACTTGTTTTTGTGATCAAAATATGTGCGTAATAATAATAATGTTTCATAAAATTCCCGATACTGTTATAAAATATATTAAAACCAGTCACTTTAGCCAGTAATCAATTGATCAATAAATATCAGGCAAATATAAGAGGCGCAATTGGTACACCGACCCTAATATATATGCTGCGCGATTAGTATATTGACCCTAAAATACAAATTTTGTTTTAGGCACAATTGGTCCATGCCCTTTATAATATTCAAAATTTTAAATTAATTGTTTCTTTTTACCAAGAATTTTGAAAACGATTGCTAACTTAACATACCAACAAAACGGATATACAATTATTATACCTGATCTTGTGGTTCTCGCAAACACTACGCCTGTTAATAAAATCCCATGTTTATTCACACTATGAAATTAATTCACAATGATCTAATATTAATAACGTAAATAAATATTCACGTTGCATGTGTATTGGACACGTAACCAGGACTTAAAAAAAAACTTTTTCCCTAAGAATCGAAAAAGTAATGGAAACGCTGGAAAAATGGAAATCCTCCACAATGAACAAAGATAATAAATAATACATTAATAATATTACAGTGGATGAATCTCGAAGACTCTATACTTATTTATAGCCTTTCACGCTTAACCTTTATTTATTGGTTATCATAACTTACAATATAAACATTATAAACTATTAAGTGGTAACTACTTACTATCCACTAACTTTAAAAATATTAATACTACCGACTTCCGACTTCTTGACAGTACCCGCTACCCAGTCATCACCACTAGTACCAACAGGTAATAATGTAATTTATCAATTTATATTTTGTACAGATAAGTAATACATAATATCATACTATCTGTATTAACTAATATTAAATAATTATACCCATAACCCATCGTACGACATATTTATAATACCGCTGGGCCAATGAAAATAGGATTTTTTTTATACATAGATTATTTTAACTTGTAAGTGTACCTTTAAATACAAATTACATTGATTACTTTCTGACAAAAAAGATTTTTTTTTTTATTTTCTGAAAACTTTATTACATATTTGAATATTCTTCAATTGTTCTATATTTTCTGGGGCTTTGGGAAAAAATTGTTTTTTTCCGCAATTTTCACGAATTTTTCTGGAAATTTTCCGGCATTTTCCGATCTCTAGTTATTGGATTCAATTATGTATTATAAAAGGTTTTTTTAGTCTACACGATAAAATACTTTGACAGTTGGTGGGTACGAAAATTAAAAATATAAGTATTATTTTAATTTCTATAACTATAAATCAAGTTTATTTGATTTTCTTATTTTTTTATTTTTTACAGTAGGTAAAATTTACAAAAATAAAGCACAGTTATAATATTTAATGCAAACCTACTATAGGATTTCTTTATTAAACTTACTACAATAATATTTTATCCAGCGTGCAGTAAGAAAGAAAATAACATGTACAAATTAGTATTTACAAAATAACATTGCTTCACCTATCACTAAGGATAACCTAATTGTGACAGAAGAAAATTTCTAAAATAGTTTCAATAATAAATATTAAATCGAAAAAAATAATGATTTTCTAATATTACAACTAATTAACATAACAAATATCTTAAAAATAAGACATAAATCAATGTTAATTTAAATAATACGAATATATTCACTATTTATAATTGTTTTTCTTTAATTATAAAATACTACTCATAATGAGTAACTATTTTTTATTAGTAATTTAAGATAATCGTAATTTTTGCAATTTTGCAAATATTTCGGTGGCTATTCGTACAACTTGTATCTAATTATTGGATAATTGTCATAGCATTTTTTATTTACCAAGCTTTTTTCGATAGTTATTCCTAACAATGAAGAATGACATTTTTACGAGTCTTCCACTTATATACTCCACAAGCACAGAACTCAGCGTCGCTTCATTAAAGGGAAGATAAGACATAAAAGAAATAAAAACGAATATTTTGATACATACGAAAAGACGATTTATTGACAAAACGTAACTCACACGAGATACAACCTATGGACGGTTACAATTCTGTCGCAAACGCTCTTACGCGGCTTAACCTTAACAAGTGGCTCATAGCCGACGCGATGTTGTACAAAATGTTAGCCTCGGCCACCAGGCAAACGGTTTGCGCACCCAGGTCGGTGCGGAGCGCGTCGACCACGGTCAACAGCGGCCGGTAGTACGTCATCAGGTCAGCCGTGAACGCCTCGACCATGGCCACGTGGCCGGTGCGGTCGAGCAGCACGGGCACGGGCGCGTCCGGCTGCAGCGACCTGTAGCAATACCGCAGGAGCATCCGGTTCTTCAGCACACGGTCCAAGTGGTCGGTGTAGCTGCCCCACAGTCGTCCGTTTTCGTCCAGCACTGTCGGCGGGTAGTACCACGTGCCGCGATAGACTGTACCGGCCAAGTGGACGTTATCGCGAAGCATGTTCACGGCGGCCACGGCCTCGGCGCTGTCGGCCGTCCACGTGACCATGATGAAGAAAATGGCAAATCGTACGCGTATCGTTGAGCACTACTGCAGTTCGCACGCGAACAAAAGGAACGGCGAACGACACGAAATAGATAAACGTTATTGTAATGCTTTTGAGTTGAATAGATAAAAACATCGAACGATCCGCAATTGACGTTTGATAAACATCCCCTTTCCCTACTTCTCGCGCTATTCCGATGACCGTGGACGGTCGTCAACTGTTGTAAGTCATCGATGTGCTTGTTGAGCGCATTTGTACCAACCGTTTTGTTCTAATTTTTTCTTTCTTTTCAATCGCATGATGTCCCGCGAAAAAATTTCAGTATCGTGATAAAAAAATATAAGATAATATTTTCAACACGTTATTGCATTGATTTTTCATGTTGGAAAGTAAGATAATTCAAAATGTTTACCAGATCAGTGATGCGTCCACTTTAATAACAACATTTTCTGAATTGTATAATTTAAATTTATTTCAGCGGCACTGTCTTTTTATTACAACCCAATTTACACTTCTGTAAGATTCGTCCATGGATGTAACTATCGCAGTAATGTACTCGTACATCAAATTAAAATTGCAAGTACATTATTCCGACGTATAGGGCAGTTAGTAAATCGGCATTCGATTTTTCATATTTTACACTTTAATTAGCACCGTACATATTGTACATTGTAACTCTACCTAAAAAAAATGTAGATTGCAATAAGTAATTTAATGTGGCTAAAACATACTCCAAAGTTCATATAAATGTTTATAAGCATACCCATTGATGAACACAGAATAAGGACCAACAGGGACACACCTTTATTCTAGCTTCACTTACTTACCATACCAATTCAACTATTTTTAACAGTAATATGTTATAGACATAGGGACATAGATATGATTATAAATGATATATTGATTAGAAATATACATTGAAAAATTGTAACACGTACTTAATATTGAAATCGATAATTTTAGACAAAATCAAAATTATACAAAATAACCCCAGATATGGAAAAACGCTATAGACCGTGACGACAATAAAGACAAAACTTAGACCATTTTTGAGAAATAATTAATGGGAATATAATAATTATGCAATACTACAATATTTTTTTTTATGTTATTTATTAACATTTCTATCTGTATGATCTATAAGATTATATTGTAATATTTATATATATACATCGTGTGTTAAAAAAACAACATTGCGTATACATATATCGCTCGTTCGAATAATTATTATTATTTTTTCTTGTCTAATGAAATGCATAAATATTACCAGACAACATTCTTGTGCACGCTGGAACACCGACAGCAATTATAACTATTAACTCTCTCACGGTGGTTGTCTATATATAGCGTAGGTAATGATAGTCGGGTGGGCGTGTTCTCGCCCTTATATAATACATAATCGTAAACCGAAAAAACGGCATGAAAACAATAGGCTAGTTTTTTTTTTCATTATGTTTTTCTCTCGTCAGTCAGGGTCACGACGACGACGAGCATCCAAAAAGCTACCTACTCAAATTTGATTTATCGATCCGTCTGCGATCATAATCTATATATAATGTAATATTAGAATACAAAAAAAATTGAACACCGAATTTCTATTATACACGAGTATAGATGTAAAACGCAATCCATTTCGAACATCTATTCTCATTTATTCATTTTCTTTATTGTACGTCAAATTATTCATCGATGTATAATCGCGGTTACACACGTTGTATAGTTAAACTATTATGTTATGATATTATTGATTTTATAATGTTATAATCATATTCTATACGTAGTTAACATAATATTTAAAAATGAGACAATAATAAATAGGGGTACATACGTCGTATGTTTTAATACGTGTCTTTTTTAAACTGCAACTGATTGAAATACATGCATGTTAAACTAACGTATATAATAGCCTCATTTGTAAACTAATTAAAACAGAATATCTCTATACTTAAGCTAGTTAAAATTATTAATTTTATTACTTTTTAACACAGAACACATCATAAGATATCGAATTTTATAAATCTATAAACTATGTACTTTACCAACTAGACTCTATGTACAGTAATAACATTCGATGTACTGCCTTTAAATATATTTATTAATTTATTAATTAAAATTTTATTTATTATATAAATATTTTGCTTTACAAATTTGTAAAAAAAAAATAAAAATAAATATTTTGTCAATTTGTATTACTACAAATTTGAATGAGAATTCGATATCTAATAGTGCCAAAAAGAAATTATTAAATACACTCGAATTATAATTAATTATTTACACATAAATATAAAATAATTGTTGAAGACCTATATATTTCAGTTTGCCAAAAAATATCCTTATTTAATTCATATTAAAACGCAGAAAATTAGCGTGTTCGACTCAGTCGTTTATATTTTAAATTATTGTGCGTGGTGCATTATACTATAATTATTATCATCAAAATGCGTTTAGCAATCGTTTTTCCTATGGGAAGAAAAAAAGATCTAACAAAGAGGGTACACGCGGGAACGTGAGTTATCGTGCACAGGAACGAACCGTACAAAAAGGCCAAACACAAAAGAAAGTGTGCGCAGATTACGTGGCCGGTGTGTATATGTATTATAATATTATTAGTCCGTTGTGTCGTGCGGGCTGCAAAATTACACAGGCGAGACGGAGATACAATACATCGAGAAACGACGACAACACAAAACGGCTCCCATGACTTTGGTCTTCTCATCTTTGAATAAAAAACGATATGCTAACAAAGGTTTTTAGGCAAATTAAAAAAAAAAGTTTTTGTGAAACGTAACTATACGTGGACATTATTATACATGACTTTTGATTGTTCGAATAATATTACAACCAAAAATAATATGTCGTACTATAATAATTGTACACTATATTCAAGAGTAGAATAAACGGAGAAGCAATATTATAATTGAAATATATTTATAGATTGTAGTTATACGCACTTATTTCCGTTGGTCTTTGATCTATTCATTTTTACAAATTAACATCAATCTATTTTTTTAGAAAATAATTTTAAAATTGGTTTTAGTTTATAAAGTTTCTAGTGAATACAATAATTTATTTTATAGTGAAAAAACATTTGATCTCGAACATATCTTATTCTTTGAATGCGATGATTTATACTCGACAAAGAAAATATTCTCATATCTTTATAAGAATTTCTTAAGAAAATCCGGAAAACTACGTTAATTTGATAAACTCCTTTGCATAAGGGGTGTCCTCAGGGATGGAGGGACAATGGAAAAGTCGCCCAGGTATTTTTCGCCAAAGACTTTTTAATTCTACAGATTGTTGTCATTTGTTATTAACATCACTCTAGGACAGTAGTTCTCAACCGGGGTGACATGAACGCAGTATAGGGGTGACACGAAATCTCCAAGGGAAAAGGAAAAAAATAAATAAACAATTTTTTAAAATCATATTATTGCCAGAATTGTCATGTAAATAGCATACCTTTAAGTTTGTGTCTTTGTATTATTTAGATCCGATAAATACGTGCAATATTTTGATTTTCGAAATCGCTTCATTATCAATTATCTTTTTGATTTAACCGGGGTTGTTAGTCAGTTATTTTGTAGTCACTAAATATGTAGTGTTATAGTTCTACAACTCTAGAAGACAATATGAGACTGGGTCTTTCAACCATCAGCCCTCGACTTCCTCAACTTTGTAAAAACTACCAGGGCCCAATTTCTCATCAGTTTTTACAAAACACTTTTTTTTTTTAAATTTTCAAATATAAACTTTGAACTGTCAATGTTTACTGAACCCTGAAACTGAAATAAATTGTGGGTGTACTTATTATTTTTCTGTGCACTGTATTTTTGTTTCTTTATTTCAATAATTATTCTAAAATACACAGTTAAGATTATTTATTAATTTGATGTTAGGGTGATACGGTGTTTTATTCTAGTAGCTAAAGGTGACATGAATGAGAAAAGGATGAGAATCACTGCTCCAGGAAAATGCATAAAAGTAAAATCGTGTACGAAGTTCGTCCCTTACTGTAAAAGACGAAACCACTGCTTTTCAGAGGGATGATTTTCGATTTGAAATTCATGAGGTCGTAAAACAAACTTTATTTACATTACATAAATAACGTTTCTTCGATAAAAATAAATCCTAGACCCACTGAATACAATAAAATAATATCTTTGCAGTGCTTGCGTGTAAGGGACGCGTAGTACGTACGATTTGTTAGAATAAAAGAACTAATGTAGGTTATACGTATACACATCGCGGGAGGTCATCGTGCGCGGGGAGGTGCGGCCATGGTGGTGGCGGCTGCAGTGGCAGACCCGAGGAGCGCGCCAGGAGGAGGAGCAGGGTTTATAACTACATAAGACGTACGTATTGCACGGGTAGACACGTCGGTGGTTATATGCGCACACAACATTACGTAGAAGAAGCGTTTAAGGTAGCGGCGGTAAGCGGTTCCGCGGTTTAGTCACGCCTACCCCGTGCACGTGACGTTTGACGTACGTACATAAGTACATCGCAGTGCACTGCACCGGCCGGCGAACGCGCACGTACGGTACACGTTCTGTACGTATGTGTTGGTGAGCGTAATCGTAATTAACAGGTTTTGCGTGCGTGTGCGTGTCTGCTTACGCTCGCACACAAACAATACGGTGCCCTTCGGAAGAATGGGAAGAAAAAAAAAACAAAAAGTCATATAATATATGTGTGTGTGTGTGTGTGTGCGCGCACCGACGTGTATTAACGCCCCTCTTCCTCTCGACGGTAGACTGTTATTATAATACATATATTATACACACACGTAGGTAGGTAGGTAGGTAGGTTGGTGTACTCACCGCGGACAGACCGATTCTTTTTTCTTAACGTTTTCTCATTTTTTTTTTTTTTCTCCTCGTGCACGTCGCGTACACAAGCATGCATTTACATTATGTATGTATCGTATCGTAATAATAATAATAATAATAATAATAATACGTAGATGTAAAAAATTGTATACAGGAGGCGGTCGTCCCCGCAGTCCAAATCCTCCTGCCCCCGCGCAGGAGCATTATAATATTGTGTTATCGTTGCACGCGCGCCACGCAACTGAGAGACAGAGACAGAGAGACGTGTAATTAAACCTGGCCGCGGCGGTGGCTACACACGCGCGCGCGCGCACTTAAT